CATATTAGCGAAACTCCGAAGAAATATCTTCACTGAGTTATGATTTAATAAACAGTTTGCCCCCAGTGTTTATTGCAGTCAGTGTAAAAATGGCTGTAAGAAAATCATTTCTACATCTTCTGTAAGCCACTTTTAGTCCAGATTGTCATTTATATAAAAATCAATTCAATAAAAACCTCCAAGAATTTATTGCCAGGAGAAAACAGGTCCCTACGAAAGAACTCATAAGCTTCCTTGATCAGAGACTGAAAACTATAAAACTCAACATCTTGTGCCTTTTCCTCTGATTGCCATGAGACTTGGAGCATAACTTAGTGCTCCCGTGTACCAGCCCTCTTTAGCTGAGGCCTCCGATATGTTTGTCTTCTCTCTCTTCTGATTTCTAGACTTTGACCTACTTTGACTCATATTAATTGTTCTAATGCATATGTTTTCTGTGAAATTGTTAATTTTGGAAGTGGGCTGAGGCATCCAAGCCTCACTGCTTGATCTTCCTGACTCTTAGGCTCAGGTAGCTCTCATTGCCCCAAAGTAAGGTTCCAAGGGAGCAAGATGAAAGTTGTGTACATTTTGATAGGGTTTGGGACCCCACCCCCTGTAAGAGGCTAGGCCCAAATAGCAGTCTGTTGTGAGGAGTATCAAGCATCTTAGGGAAATTCTTGTCTGAATAGGGATGTTGGGAAACTGAGTGGACCAATGTAGTAAGAGTTGGGAATCCTGAAGGTGAATTGTAATCAGGTGTCTGTTAAAACCATCCGCTCTGACTTAGAATATATAGACTACATATCCTCCTATCTTATAAAAATGACAATGCCTAAACTTCCAAATATTTCAAAGTCATCAAAGCGGCACTTAATATTGGTACATTATTTTTATTTCCTTCTTATTAACAAAAATAAGAGGTCAAGTTATGAACAGTTGCATCAGAATGTGCTGCCAGATCAGTCAGTGGGTTTTGAATAGTCTCAAATGGTCCTCTGTACTGGGGTCCAGTAAATATGTGTCCAACACCATCTCTATTCCTAATAACACGTAGCCCTTTCTTCAGGGGTGCTCATTGCTACAGGTGTGTGATATCACTGGTGAGAAAGAGAGATCCTCTGTAGATTTCCCGTCCCTGAAGTACCCATGGATAGAATGGAGAGCAATAAAAGGAAGAACAACCCAAAAGACATTTGTAAAACCTTGGGTGACAAAACAAGGCAGAAGGGAAGATACTGTGGGGTAATGGCAGAAGTTTACAAGTGGGAATTTAACTTAAAATGAATGCTAAATTTGATGAGGTGGGTGTTGCAGAGGGAAAGTGAATGACAAGGCCTTGGAAACTGGAAGCCAAAGTGGGGGATTGCGGGCTTGCAGACACAAGTTTGAAACAAGGAGAAAGAACTGATTTCCAAAGGAAGAGAGAGGTCGAATAGAACACTAAAAACTAACAACAACAATGCAACAACAAATCAATAAAGATCAATATGCATGACCCAGGCAGGTGAGACCAAGAAGATGATCCCCAAAAAGAATGAGTAAGTAGGTGTAGATTCTGGGACAGCTCTTTATAATTGAATCAGTAAAATTACTTGCATTGGGTGGATTCTGACTTTAAACCTGAATCTAGGTTTCTGTATAGACACAACAAGACCTTCAGGTTGAAAGAAAACAGGGTTGCTAATGAAGACCAAGAGTATTTTTGGACATCAAATGGCTCTTATAAAATGGCATAAATGAATCAGAAACATGGATAAAATTTCTCTTAAAGCACATAGGCATTTTTAAAGAATTTAAGAATAGAAAGTGCTGACCTCATGCATTTGGAGATCTGAAGAATGAATGAATGAGATGGAAAATAGAGTTTGAGATGTTCTGCTCAACTCAAATGACTAACAAGATCTTGTAATCCTACTTTGTCTCCTCTCAGTGTCCGTGTTTTGGTGACCTTTTTTACTGAACAACTCTTATGCTAATATCAGCCCAAAAATTTTATAAAAACCTCTTTAAAGGTGTCTTCCGAAAATGCTATTCCTTAATCTGAGATTAGATCAGAGACATTGTCTTAATCTGTGCCTCTTGAATACCTAGCAGAATTCGTAGCTTCCTTTGTGTCTCTTGGAAACAGGACCTACAATGAGCTGCACTTGTCCTATCCTTCTGTGCTATGTTAATTATGTGAATGGCTTTTAATTATGCCTCTGGTGGCAGAGGAAGAGATGGCCAGAGCCAGAGAACCCCAAACCTCAGCCAGCTGCCTTCTGCTCTGTCTAAGGAGGCATGCTGAGGCATGAACAGTGCATGTTTGCCTAGAGCTCTGTCCCCAGATGTGAAATCCCTGGTCCTGGTGATTTGGGTGGAACTATGGGTATGTGAATACAAGCTCTTCTTTTGCCTCTATACACTAAGGCCTGAGGGGAAAACAACCTTCTTCACCACAGTATCCTAGACCAGCACCAGCCATAGATATATAATGTGAATCACAATTGTGAGGTCCATAATGTAACTTTAAGTTTCTTAGCAGATGAAATAAATTCTGATAATAGATTTTGCTTAACTCAGTATATCTAAAATATTACCATTGCAACATTTAATATTAAACGTTTATTAAGATATTTTATGTTTTTTAAATTTTTATTGTCTTTGAAGTTTTGTGTCTATTTTACACTTAGAGCCCCACATTTGAACTGCTCACTAGCCACTTCGCTACTACGTCACACAGTGTAGTTCTAAACCTATATTGCAATATTTGCCTTGATGTTTGTATCACTGATGATGAGAGAATAAAAAGTAGAGCTAAAGAGAGTGAAGAAACCAAGGGGAAAAAAATCTCAATCCTTAAAGGAATATTTCTCAGAGTGGAATCTATGAACCTCCTGGGTCAAAATCACCTGGGATATATTTTATTTTTTAATCAAAATGCAGGATTCTGGGTTTGACCCTAAATCTACCTAATCAGAACTTCTAATGATGGAACCTGGGAATCTGCATTTTTAAGCTTCCGCAATCGTTCTCTTCCACACTTATTTCTCTGATGCTCAGAAGAGAAGTCACACACATGGGCCACCTGTACCCACTGAGCAGCTGTATTTTCTTTGTTCCTAAACTATCTTTAAATTTTGGAGCCATTGTTTTAAAAGTGGGATCATTTTATTCTCTGTCTCTGTCCTGCCTCTGTCTCTGACTCTCTCTCTCTCTCACACACACACAATCTCACACACACACACAAACACACACACAAATTTTTGGATACTCTTGAAAGAGGGGCAGATGGGACGTTGGATTGGTGGACCAAAGCATCCCTGGGCACACTGTCTGTGAGTAGCCCTTAAGTCTGCATGAGGAAACAGAGAGGGATTAGACATATTTTCTGCCCCAAGGAGCTCAATGGGACCCTGAGTGCTTGTCAAAAGTCTGTACACAACTACCCGCAGAAGATTGAACCAGTGTCTGGGATAGCTGTGCATTTGCCACAAGTGAGAAATTTCTCGGAAGTCTGCACTTCTGGCTCACAATGCACGAGAATTGAGTGTGTAATGCCAGAGCTCGAAAATGTATATATATGAACATATGAATACATACATATATGTGTGTGTGTGTGTATATGTATATATGTGTGTGTGTGTGTGTGTGTGTGTGTGTGTGTGTGTGTGTATAT